GAAACTGCCCTGTTTTCTTAGAAAGGGGTCGGTGTCACCCCTCTGTGACTCAGCATGGGAGTATAGGCAACACTCAAGCCAGGCACTCAGTCCTGGCACTCACCCATGGCACTAGTGTGGGTGGAGAGATGCATTTTCAGTTATTCTGCACAAGCAAAGTAGCTGGACGGTGTCCGTGTGTCCTTCCACTTTTTAAACAGATGGTGTCTCACCGCTACGTCTCGGCCCGTGTCATTTAATTCAGGGACAGTTAAGACACTGGACCTCAGTGTAGACTTTGAAATCAGCTTTATGAGAGAACCTATGAAATGAAACCCACCTGTCTCACAGGAGGTGCCCGAGGGCCTGGACAAGTGGACAGACCTCCACCGTCCAGTGTCCCCGTCCCGATTACGTGCCGTAAACTCGTGAGCACGTTTAAAAGAGGAGCTCCAAACCCACCCCTGGCAGTGCGTGGTTTCTGTACCGCTGGTCTGCTCGTGATTGGCTCCTCCCCAGCTGTGCTGTGCAGTCCCGCTGAGTGGTCTCTGGCATGGCGAGGGCACGCAGAGCTTCCTGACTGCTAGAAGGTGGGGCTCAGCCTGGCAGGCAGCGGGGCACGGCAGTCAGCACCATCTTTCAAGCCTTGTTTCCGTTTGCACGTGTGTGTGCGCACAGGCACTCTTAGGGCCACCCAACCCCCAGGAAGGCGCTGCCTTCAGGCCTCTTCCATGGGCAGGCTGGGACTCCCGCCTTCCACCCTCTGAGCTCTGCGGGCTGTTCCCAGGGCTGCGGATGGATGCCCTTCGCTGCCTTGCAAGTTTCAGCAGCTTCTGCCAGCGCGTCCCTTCCCTGGGCAGGTCAGGGTCCTCTTCAGTGCAGCGTAAGCCCTGCTGCAGCCGGTCTGGCAGGTGGAGCAGCGTCCTGGCCGGCAAGGCGTGGCTCCTTCCGTGGCCTGTGGTGACACTGGCGACTGTCTTCCCACTTCTGCCAAATGTTTCCATGTTCTTTCCTCTTTTATAGGTGTTAGGTCTCTGTTTCTTATTGAGTTATTAAGGGAATTAATCTTTTAAAAATATTAGTTATAAATATTAATTCCATGTTTGTCACTTATCTTTGAATTTGTTTGTTTTTTTTTTTTCCTACCTCTTTTCCTTTAATGAAATCAATCTTACCTTTTAATTCTTTTGACTATTTTAAATGGCCTCTGGCAATTTTAAAAAATAATGAAATTTTGACATAAGAACATTATAAAAGTACAAGAAAAGATAGAGATAGGCAGATACTGAAGGAGAAGGGCCTCCCGCTGTCAGGCCCGCCACACCACTGTCATTTCAGTGTGCCCACAGGCTCTGACTGCCACATGGACCCTGTCTCCACGGCACGGAGGTGGTGCTTATCGCAACATATAATATGAGAGCGGGAGTTATGTGAGTAGGAAAATCCAGTTTTTAAAAGATTTTTATTGCACTATCAAAACAGTACTGATGCTCAGAAACAGCGGCTATTACCATGACGAGGCCACTGTCCAGGGACACAGACGCAAAGTGGGTACAGCGGGAGGACAAAGGTGAACACAGCGATAAATGCGGAGACAGGAGAACAGGTCCCTAGTCCTCAGCCAAGTTCAAACAGCAATCGCGTTCTCCTTTCACGTCGGGCTACCCGGTTCTGAGGACGGTCTTGTGGCATTCTCCGGCCATCGTTTTCACTTGCAATGGTGACTGGCAGTAGATGGGACCCTGGAAAGTTCGGGAAGTTCTAGAAGCATGTGGTTTTCGTGCCAGAAGGGGACGGTGAGGCTGCATCCTAAACATGCGAGTCTGTTACCTGCCAGCTAAGCCCAGAGGCGTTGGCTTGCAGTTGGGCAAGGCGCGGCAGAGGCTGCAGAAGAGGGTTTATTTCTGCAACCAGGGTGCAGCGGGACAGCCAGTAAGCGCCACGGAGCGCACTCCGAGGGCCCAGCCCTGCTGCATAGTTACGGGTACAGATACAGGCATGCCATATCACGCCCCACCACGGATCAGAGTCCGCGCTTTCCCCAAAGCGACTGTCCCAATTCCTTCAAATACCCTCTCCTGGCTCCTCATCCACCTCTCCTCACACAGTCTTCCCTGGCCCGCCGGGTGGCCCTGGTCGGACCCTTCCAGATTTCAGAGCGGCTGTCGCCCTGCTGCACCCCAGGCTGGCCTGCTTCACATTACTAGTGCCCAAACCTGCCTATTTTTAATGCTTGATTTGTACAGTTTGGAGTTTGAGGGTCTTAGAAAACATGTGAAAGAGGAGAATTCCAAGTGAATATTTGGGCCTTTGAAATACATTTTATGGAGGTAAATTTTAGTCATGATTTGAAGTAATATTCAGTATTCCATAAATGAGCAAGACAAAACTGCCAGACAGACAGATAGAAGTGGGCATTTCCAATTTCCCAGATTTCCAAGGATGTATTTATACAGTTGATAAATTTTGGAAACTCTAGTGAGTATATACTCACATGCAAACTAGCTTTATTTCAACATTTTGCACAAGATTTTCATGTGGTATTTTTTTATGTAGATTTTTTTTTCACTGTTTTGAGTAAACTGCAAAACAAAGAGGCAAGGGGCAGAGAGAGAAGGGAGTCTGTTCTTCCTGCTGTATTTATTAGAGCATTTCGATTCTGGGGGAAACTGTCTTCTCTGTATCAAAGAGTAAAGGTTGTTTTTATAGCAACGTTTTTAAAGTATTTTAATGATTACCTTGGTTAAGCGAGTGACTATTATTATTTCACAGTGACCTGTGATCAAGTGTTTAATACCTGAAAGACTTTCGAGGTTCTAAGGTTTTGTCTCAAACTCATTTTTTGAAAATTCTAGAAGAGCCTTTAGATGTTCACGAGAGACAGATTAGGCTTATCTAGTTTGTTAAAGTTATATGGAAAACATCGTCGAACATACTGTTTAACTTTGTGTTATAATTGTATAAATTGTTATTAGTGTGTGATCCCGAATCGTGAGACTCCTAGAGTACGATGTCTTGGTCCACGTTATTGGTCAGGGTTCCAATGTTAGACCTCCGTGTGTCCCAGGAGTGGCCACATTTGCTGGCTGGTTGAGTCCGGTGAACTGATTAGGCTGTCGGGAAAGTCATGACGTGCTTCTTCGCAAAAACGTGCCATGACTGTCCTGACGACCGAGACAGCAGCTCTTACCCGTGGCCCCCACGTCATGGCGCCCATGGTCCCCACGTCATGGCACCCGTGGCTAACTGCTTAATCCTGGTGCTCTTTTCAGATGTGACGGTCACCAACAGCCCAGAAACGGCACCTTTCTACTAGTATCCATGGAGAAGGCCCTGAGAAGGACTCTTGGATACAGGTTGCTGATAACCAAGATTATATTTCTGAAAAATGGACTCAAAACTTCTAACCCTATAATAAGCTGAATAAGGACTAATTACATGGGGATAAAATAATGGATTATAATTTTTAAAAATGATTATTTAATTTTATTTATTATTAGTTTTTAATTTGACCAGAGAGAGACAGAGAGTGAGCAAGAGATAGAGACAGAAAGTAAGAAAGCAAGCCGCCAGGCCTGAGACTCAAACTCTGGTTGGCCATGTGAGGGTCTAGCACCTTAACCAGTACACCACCTGCTGGTTCCTGGATGATGATTTTTAAAAATAATTTTATTTTTAGTTTATAATATTACTGATTCATTTTTGCTTTTCAGATTATATTTTTTTCTATTTATAGCTTTCAGCAATTTGGTTAAGATTACTTTTGTAAATAGAATTGAAATATTTACTTTTTTCCAGCTCCCTCCAAAATCTGGAAATGAGTCATAAATATCATTATTTTATGGCAATATACTTATTTGCACGAACCCAGTAAGAATCTCACATAACAGGAACTGGACATGCTGGTTCTGTTGTCTAGGCTTTGCCTGGAATGTCCTGTCTTTATGAGCCAGAAACTTGGAGTTAAGACAGATTAAGTCTAATCTGAAGCTCTTTAGAAAAGTTCCCGCAAAGTCAGCATACAAAGAGCCCCTGTGGTGAGTCAGGTCTGCTCACAGGTAAGCAGGTGGAAGACTGAACTCGTTTCACAAACACTGGACCCTGCTGAGCAACTTTGGTACAGATGGGTCGCAGAGGGAGCCATGACCTCGCAGAAGAAGGGCCACCGTGCACTGCCCTGAGAGCCCAGTTCATGGTTTGGAGCATTTATCATTTGCCCAGCAGTTTGGACTGAACCCTGAATTTGTCCTTAGCTACATGTCTCACCTAATGTTTCCAAATGTTTCTCCCATTCTAAATTATAGCTGCTATTCCTGAGATGCTGTAAACTGAAGTTAGCCCACTCCAGGAAAACTCACGTGATGGTGTCAGTGTGGACAATCCTCGATTCCAAGGGCTCACCAGGAAAATCTATCACGTAAGGTGCCCCCGGAAGGACATACTGGGACCTTCCCACCTGCCCACCTCCCGAGCCTGAGACTTGCTGCCCAGAGTTCCCCGTCTCCTGTTTGCTCACCTCTCTGGGACCTCTGTGTTGACACCATGCAGAGTCCAGGCCCGAGATATCTGTGCTGCCCTTCCTAGGCGAGACACTGGGAGTCCCAGGAGTGGCTGGAATGCAGGGCTGTGGCAGGGCCACAAGGATGACTTTCCCAGGCACGTTTATCTTACAAGGGGCTTGCAGGGCAGCTCTGTGGAGAGGGGGAGCTGACCCAGAGGTAGCAGCAGCGCCAGGCTTTCTAGTCACGCAACCAGCAGAGTTCTTTTCTGTCAAAAAGCACCTAGCCCAGGGACCAGCAGTTGGCGTAATGGCTGTGTCGCTGGACTCCCATGTAGTCGACCGCAGTTTGAGTCCTGGATCCGGTGACTTAAACTCACACTGGGTGCATGTGCGTGCATATCCAATATCCCAAAAGGAGAATGGAGGAGCAGGGATTGCGGCGTGGCCATCCCCCCTGGGGGGTAATTTCTCACTTTCTGTCTCTCTGTCTCTCTCTGCCTGTCTGGCGAGCGCACGCGCCCTATAGCAAAAACCTCTAAAAAAAATTTTTTAAAAAGCATCTAGCCCAGATTTTCTGAGAGGTGCAGCTGAAGCCTAGTAAATAATACACAAGATGCTCTACTTTGAAAACTCCCAACAAGCCGTATTAGACCAGCCACGTAAGCAGATTCCACAGTGGAGAGGTGCCCAGGCCAGGAGGAGAAGGAGTGGCCTGGGAGGCAGAGCCCTCGGCGCACCCCCCGCCCCGATGATGGGCCTTGTGGGTGCACCGAAGGACCGCAGGCAATACTGCAGATGCTATGAAACTTCTAAAAAAATCATGTTGCCTGTCGCTGTTACAGATTTCCCTGACAGAACAAAAATTCTAAAAAATGTAGATTTACGCCTCATTTCCTGTCCTTGGCATCAAATTGTGGGTCACCCACCCACTTTCCCTCTGCAGTGCAGGCTGCTGGTTCCCTACTCTCCTGCGCTGCAGAGGTTAGGGAGACAGCATTCCTGACGCGCTCTAGAACGTGGAATCACAGTGACCCTCTGCACAGGCCGAAGTCTTCAGTCTCTTGAATTCAAGGTTAAGAAATCCCCTAGAAATGTCTGGATTTCTTCCTAAGAGAAGGGGGCTGCCAAACCTCCAGCTGAGAAACTTTTAGATGTAAAGTTTTCTTTCTTTCTTTTCTTTTTTTTAGAGGTTTTTGCTATAGGGCGCATGGGCTGGAAAGACAGAGAGACAGAAAGTGAGAAATCACCCCCCAGGGGAAATGGCCACACCACAGTCCCTTCTCCTCCATTCTCCTCTTGGGATCTTGGGTACACATGCACATGCACCCGGAGTGCATTTAAGCCACCGGGTCTGGGACTCGAACTGCAGTCAACTACATGGGAGTTCAGCGACATAGCCATTACGCTAACTGCTGGTCCCTAGATGTAAAGTTTTCTTTAAAAAGCAATGAAAATATTTGAAATAGTTCACATAAGTCCCCCCACCTCACCCTTTTTAAATGAAGGATTTATAAGCTACCCGGAAGGTAACTTTTAATTTGAAGACGTCCAGAGTTTCAGTGAACTGAAGATCTGGAAATAATTACAGGCACCGATCACGGTCAGTGCTCAGGCCCAGGGTCACTGAGGGCAAGTGAGAGCATGAGACCCTACTCAGGGCACCACGCCAGGACCACTTCCGACTGCTCTGGTCAGGAAGGAGGGAGGAGACTGACGGGCCAGTCCCAGCCCTGAGCTATCAGTCAGGGGTACCCAAGTGCTCTTCCATCAATAAGCACCACTGTGCACTTTGTGCAATGGACTGTAGGTTATGAAGGGGTATCTACAGACAAAGCAAACTCAGAAACAGGTTTCCACATTTCCACTATTTCCATATCAACCAAGTTATTACACCTTATAATTTACAGGAAATTGAGGTTAATTCACTCACTACTGAGAAAAATTCCATCCCAGAGCAAAGAGATTAGAATACCCAGAATGTATTTACAACACATGATGTCATGGCCAGAAACAGAGCCACTTTATCTAATCTTCAAAGAGGCTTTAAAATATTGCATGGGCCCTTTCTTTCTAAACTTTTTCCCTTTATTGTCTTACATTCAGTCAGTGCATGACGACTTTCCCGTAGGCCAGCATTTTGAGCCCACCTGAGAGCTGCGGCCTTGTCCCTCAGGCCAGCTCTCGCCTCTGCGGGCTGGGACCAGCCCCTTCCTCTGTACTAAGGAGGGAAATTTGTCAGTCGGGGCCAGTAGCTCAGACCCTGGGCCTCCCTAAGGCAGACTTCCCCCACGGGACCTGGGATGCCAGGTCAGGGTGGCTCTGCTCGTCCGTCCCTCCCCAGCCTACAGGAGGACACAGAGCAGGGCGTGACAAGGCGCGGCACCTGCACCAGTGACCCTCTTGCTCAGAGCAAGGCTACTGGCCTGATATTTGTTGTAAAAACGGACTCATCCCAGAGGAAATTTTAAAGTCCCATGTGCTTAGGTCAGAACTGGCTGAGAATGATGTCCTGTCTCCCACTGGCAAAGAGGCCAGCGTGTGAGGAACTCCGTGACTGCCAGGAAGCATGTCCTCATCCCCTTTGGCCTGCCTCTGCTCTCCCCTGTTTGGAAACATCAAGTCCTCATTTCTAAATAGTGAGAAACCTCCCAAGAACATAGATTTCCTGAAATAAAATAAAAGTTCAAATCACTCCTAATGAACAAAGATTTTAAAACTATTTTTAATCTTACAAAAGAGGAGGGATAGCATTTATTCACTTTGTAGAAGTTGTGTCTAAAAGAACATTAGTGAGCCAATTCTCCTCAATTAAAACATGACAAACAGGAGGGAGGTCATCACATATTTGGTCATTTAAATTTAAGTCTCCAACATAGTCATTTGTAGGTGGCCGGTCCCTGCATGGTACTGCTGACCACCCAGCACAGCTAGGAACAGCACTTCACCCAAGACCTGTGAGTGCTCGGCATAGCGCCTGATTTCCTAACACAGTCCGACACTCCCCTGGGCTCACTACGCCAGAACGCAGGGCCCACAGAGCACCTTCTCCTCCTGGCTGACCACTCTCCGCCCAGCAGCGCTGGAACTAAGTGTCCAGGACACTCACGGCCAGCAGCACTGGTAAGTCCCCACCCCTGACAGTGTCAGGGCAGTTCCTACCTTGTTCCTCTAACCCAGGAAAAACGGCAGGCGAGGCGGGTCCAGCCCAGTGTCCTGTGCCCAGCAAGGCTCTCTGCAGCCTGAGAACCCCCTTTTCCCCAGCTGTTGCTCGCCGCCTCGCCGAGGAGGCCAGGCGAGAGTGTGTGCGGAGCCTGGCACCTTCTGTGCTATGGGGGACTCCCACACAGGACCACTAACATCACAAAAGAACAACTCGTTTATGAAAGCTCATTGGAGGGAAAGACAGTAACCAGCACGTCTTTTCCAATAGTAGATTTTAGAAACAGCAAAATGAGTTACAAAAGTTAAAATACAATATTTAGGGAGAGCTTTTCTATGCATGGAAACGACGGAGCTAAGTTTGAATCAAAACTACCGTGATCAGAGTCCTGCGAACTGCTTAACCTTGAATTTTTGCAGTTTGAGGAGTAACCGAGTCAACTTACTGTATGACCAACAATAAAAATCTCAGGACATCCCTTCTCTGGTCCTTTAACCGCCGATTTCCCTCTCCATCAAAACTTCCCTAAAAGGGGAGCCGCGACGACATACAGTACCTCCCCTCCTGCCTCCAGGTGAGCCGCGGGGTCTGTGCCACCTGTACTCACTTGTGCGCCTGCACTGCGTCCGCTCTGTCCCCTGGAGCTCTGACACCTGCCTAGGAAGAGGAAGGGCGTTCGCTACCCCTCTTATGGCAGAGGCGGTCACAGGGAAGTGCACACCTGAGACAGGTAAGCCCTCAGGTGAACGCCCAGCTTCCGTGCAACGCAAAAAGCCTACTTAATACATTTCCTTCGGGTTGAAACAGCCCTGCCCTCGGGGTGCAGAGAGGGCAGGACCGCGCTCCCGCCCAAGCCCCATTTCTGTAGCTGGGAAAACGCAGGCCGATCGCCGGCCCCGGTCCTGCGTGGCACCTTGCTGAGGGCTCAGGTGAGTCGCTCCACCCCGCACGGCCAGGACCGCCCTGGCCTGCTGGCCC